TGTTTAAGCTTATCAAAAGCTTCCTGTTCTTTGGCGCCCCACTGCCAAACAAGGTCCTTTTTGGTGAGATCGTTCAACGGTCTCGTGATTTTTGCAAAGTTTTCAATAAACCTTCGGTAGAAATTACCTAAGCCTAGGAAAGCCCTAACTCCTTTGACGCGAGTAGGTTCTGGCCATTCCAAAATAGCTTGAACTTTCTCAGGGTTCATCCTGATTCCATAGGTCCCGTTCCTGTAAGCGTCGAAGGACTTCTTGCACGATCCTGTCATGCTCAGCCTCATCGTCCGACTTTGTAAATCCTGTAAGCGTCGAAGGACTTCTTGCACGATCCTGTCATGCTCAGCCTCATCGTCCGACTTTGTAAATATTAATAAATCGTCAATGTAAATGACGACACAATTTTCCATATCCGCAAAGATCTCGTTCATCATGCTCTGGAAGGTCGCCGGTGAATTGGTCAACCCAAAGAACATAACAAGGGGTTCGAAAGATCCTCGGTGGCACGTGAATGCGGCCTTCCAAGCATCTTCCTCTTTGCTGACTAATCAAAGGCAGCGGATACGCATTTTTAACCGTGTGCTCATTCACATAACGATAGTCCATAATCATTCACTTTTTACCATCCTTTTTAGGAATGAAGAACACCGGGGACGTCATAGGACTTTTAGAAGGTCTGATGTAACCCTTCCTAAGTTGTTCGTCTATGAAACTAGATACCTCGTCTCTTTCTGGAGCAGAGAGCGGTATCATGTGTCCCTTCCTTGGTTTGAAGGTGTCTTTCAAATCTATAACATGGTCCCAAGGCTTAGCCTCTGGGAAGCGCTCTGATTTGTGTTTCGAAAAGACTTTCCAGAAGTCGTGGTACTCGGGAGGTACCAGCCTCTTAATCTCTTCCTCAGGTTTTACCTCATCATCATCATCGTCGATCTTTTCTAAAGATCTGAGCTCGTAAACGTGACTAGCGTTTAACTTTTCGAGACGCTCATTGTGACGGACATGATTTGGTTTACCCAAGTTTACACATTCCTGGGGACAACGTGACAATGTGACAACCCCTGTCTGCCAGTTGATCTCAGGATTGTGTTTAAATAGCCAGGTCCAGCCTAAGATTAAATTAATCTTCCCTAGTTGGGTAGCCTCGGCAGTGACTCGTTCTCTGTGTCCTTGGTATTCGACCACAAAAGAACATTTGTGTGTAATACAGCCACCTGCGTTAAGCGTACCGTCAACGTTATAGACGGGAATAGACATTTCTAATTTTACAAGGGGGAGTCCAATTTGCTCTGCCCAGACCTGATCTATGAAGATCCCGTTAGCGCCTGAATCAAGCAGTGCGCTCGTTGAGTGTACTTTGCCCCTGGCAAGGTTTTCCACGCCAACGTCTAAACGGATCTCTTTTTGGAATAAATACGTGCGCATCAACACACGCCTTGGGATTTCGGGAAAGGGTGGCTCCGAAGAAGAAGAAGAAGAAGAAGAAGAAGAAGAAATTTTGAATGACACATGTTTTTCTATTTTTGTTTTACCAGAATCAAGCACCCTAGTGTTTGTCTCGCCGGGGCCACGCTCCAAGGGAGACACTGGTGCAGCGGTAGTATCATAAATATTACAGTTACATTTCTTCATACAAGTACATACTTCTGATAACAAATTTAAAAACTTATTTACAAATTGGGGAGCCATCCCCGTCATTCCGTTATTGTTCGTGCAACACCCCGGAGCAGGGGCCACTTTGTTGTGGTTTACTTCATTTTTACCAGGAGCTAAGGTACCCAAGTGACCTAAGCCCCGAATTCTTTTCCCTGAGCCTTCATTTCGTTGACCTGTTGGTCATAGAAGAAGGCCCGGATTTCGTCGTAAGAACGACCGGCCAAAGAGTTGAGCCGATCGTCCAGCTTTTCGATTTCTAGTTGGCGCGCCTGGCGCCCTTGATTATTTTTTTGTTGGGCAGCCTGCGCCCCGTTTCTACAGTCTCGGGACATGTGTCCCTCTTGGCCGCAGTTGTAACAGTTGCCCTTGAATCTGCGCATTTGTCCGCCTTGGACCGCGCCGATATCCATAGGAGCACCCTGTCCTGGCTGCAGCTTGAACGGCTTGAACCCGTGAGAGTGATTATGATGTTGGTTTGATGACCCAGGGCGCCTCTGGGGTATGTTGTTTTGTTTGGTGGACCCGCCACCTTGTGTAAGGACCATTTTATTATTTCCTTATCTTCACTATGTCTTGGTTCTCGAACGCTTTTCCCATTACGCCTCTGGCTCTAGGGCTAGAGGTATCGTTTGCCGTTCTACTTCTCATAGCCCTCACAGGCTTTCTTAACCATCGTTACCATTTTATATCACAGATCAGAGACTGGGCATCGCTCCCAGCCAGCCAGCACACTGGGTAGGGACTGGTAGTAGGCATCTCGCCAACCAGCTCCAAGCCCCAGTAAAGCCTGGTAATACTAATAACGCCTTATCTAGAATCGTACCTCATCATGAGGATACGGTTCCTGACCACGCGTGACAATCTTCTATTATTAGTACAAGTCTCTCACCTGCTGATTAATCAAGCCAGAAGTCGTACAATAGTTACTCTCCCTTTTTCTTATTGGTAGATTAATTCCTCAGACCACTTTTCGTATATTCTCCTTTCGGTCTGAGGAACGGACAGTTCCCTATATAAAGACGTACCTATTCATGTATAGCTCCTTAGCTTTCTATTACTGAATTTACCCGCTTTACTCCTCAACAAGAACCTTTGAAGCTTACCTCTCAAAGTCCTCTACTCGCTATATTTCTAGCGTCTGTCGACCTCAAAGCTCATTGGACCCTTACTCCCTGCAAGTGCAGAAGGAGATAGGTTTAGTTTTTGTTATAGTTTATCGTTGCCTCACAAAATAGAAAGCTCACTCTACAATCCGTTCACAGCGTACCATCTCGCTTGAACCCATTATAGCCCTAACCCACCTTTTCCTTCATCCCTCGGACGTGTTGTCATTCACCGTCCTCCTCCCCATCCAAAACAACCACTTGCCTTCTAGCTAAGCTAGCTAGTTGTTCTCTCCAACATTCCTACCCACCTCGAAGTAATACTCTTACTTGTTCTAGCTCAAGTCCTCACCCTAGCTGTCGTCTTTGATCACTTCTACAATTGTCAAACTGTCGAACATCAGAGAGAGCCTAGTAACGGACGAAGAACGACGTTCACTCGAGGAATTCCATCGCGCCCTCAACAACCGAGACCTCCACGTTGCAGTACCTGTCAACGCTGCCACGCACCCCCAGCCTGCCCACAGCAACACAGAAACTGAGTATTACGAAGACTCATCAGCCGCCTCTTCCCCCATCTCTGAACTAGAAGGACTAGTTCTAGCCGTCGACGATTTAGCATTCGAAATCTCCCAACTCCGTCAATACGTCGCGCTTACTCGAGTACGCATCAGCAGCTGCTCAAACCTGCTTTTGGGAATCCGATCAAGCATCCAGAGAATTGTTCAGGTTCAATTCGATACACCTAGAGCACCTATCAATCGAAGTCTACGAACAGAGAATTCTAGAACCCCCTCGTCGGAACGACAGTGAAGAAAGACGGGCCCTCAGACGACGAGCGGCAGAACATAAGACAGCTCTTCTTATACTATCCGACGGAATCTCTCCACGCATCTATCACCTTCCAAACTACGTTGAAACTCCCCAACTTGCGTTCTCACCAGAACAAGACGGGAGAGAGATCCACTACCTACTTCCCTGTGGAATCATCATCCACCGACGACCCTACTCCGCACCCTACCTAGAATTCCTTACGCCCTACCTCGAACCATCCAAAATTGACGTATACGTTACAGCGTCATTTAATCCTACCCCTCTTGAACTTCTTTTTACAAGAATTGGAATTTACGAAACCGATCTCATCAAGTTCTATCGGGAAATACCATTCTTCTTCGACGTCCCCCTCACTCCCGAACAGAACGACGCCTTCAACCAACGAGATTATCTTAAAACAGGAGTCCACGTATTAGTGGTCACCCCTTTCTGCCGCGACGCCATACGAAGGATAGTAGCCTGCATATCGCAATTTCGCAAACTAGTGTTTAAAATTGGACACGAGATCCTCGAAGGAAGGAATTGGGAAAGAGAACAAAGACAGATCAGGAACATCTGTCGATTGTTCAGAGAATACCAAAACTACGGGAAAGAAGTTTTTGATTTAGTCATCCGCCACCCCACAGATCGATTCATCGTTACCGAGATCAACACCGAGTTCTGGGGGGTACTTATTCGAGATAACAACAGAGTCTACTCGCAGTACAAACCAGGGTACCATCTGACCAACGGAAATTTCTCTTATATCCCTCCCGTCTCATCATTGATCCGAGGAAACGTTCTTATTGAAAGAACCCCCTCACCAGACGAAGCAACCTCGAACTTGGACAGTAATTCTACCACTAGCTCACAGGTAGAAAGAGATTTGGAAGAAGAAGAGAATATTTTTGGATTTACTTCTAACGATTGGAGTGACGAGTTTGATTACGATTCAAACTAAATAAACCTCGCTTCAATCCTTCAAAGTGTTTTCCGAATATCGAAACCCAAGACCGTCCATAGAACCAGAGACTCCACCCAGACAAACCCTACCGCTACCACCTACACGCCCACCTCCACCTCCAATTCCTCCAAAACCCTCATCCATGTCTAACCCCACGCAGTTACACGGCAAAGTAACACTCGCAGCAGAACCCTTCGAATTCAAAGGAGAGAAGGAACGATTCATAGCATGGCGCCAAGCACTACAGTTGTACTTAACCGCCTACGCATCCTACTTTCCAGACGAGAAGACGAAGCTCATCTACCTCCTGTCCAAAATCAGCGACCAAGGAACGTCGACAGTAAAAGCTTGGAAAGAGAACGTGCTTACCAAAGCTCTCGACGCAACTACCCCCGTATGGCCGACTCTCTCGACCGTCCTAACCGATCTAGCCCAAGTATTCGGGAATCCAAACGAAAGATCGCAGGCGGTAAACGAGATTGAGACATACAAGCAGGAGAATAAGCATTGCGACGAATTCTTTAGCCATTTCACAATGCTCATGGACAAGGCCGGATATGACGCTACCACTCACTTCGACGTGATCAATCGAATTCTCAAAAAGAATCTTCACTCTCGAATCTGTGATTTCGTCATCATCCAGAGAGACCTACCAAAAACATTTGCTGAGTGGAAAACGCAAGCCTACGCATGGGAGGCATAAAGAGAAGAGTTTCAGTTAGACGAAAGACGGAAGAGAGAAGTCACGCAGCCGTCGCGACCTATCAACAGACAACAGACGTATACGCACCAGCATGTGCAACAGCCGCAGCCACAGCAGATGGCGAGACCCCAGACGAATCAGTATGCAAGAAGGTTCGAGGATCAACCTCAGAGAGGTGTGTTCCCCGGACAAGGTGTACCCATGGATACGGACCGACAGAGTCGGTTCAGATTATGTTACGGATGTGGCCAGCCGGGTCATATCGCAAGGAACTGCCCTCTGAAGAAAGTTGCAGCTAGAGAAGCAACCACAACCCAGGAGGAGACAAAGACGAAGGATTTTCTCGAAGGTCAGGAGTAAGCACGGACTCTCTGACCAGTAAGCACGGTTCGGAAAATGTATTTGTAACTGATAAATCGAAACATGTTTCCCAAAACCCACGTGCCGAGAAATACGCTAAGCCACATTCAGCGGAATGGTTGGCTCGACGAATTAAAGACCAGAAAGAAGAAAGAGCCAAAGCATTGGTTCGGAACTGGGCCTCACCCCAGTGTTACCCACACATCACGACGGATACAATCAATTTACTCAAGCAACACGATGAAGAGTATATCGTAGAGCAGTTGAATGTGATCAAAGATTTCTCATCCCTCCCCCCATCTCATCAACGCAAACTCTCGCTACAATGTCAATTATCCACTATCGACGATCACCAGACGCATGTCATACCAGTTTTGATAGATTCAGGATGCACAGATTCTATCATTGACGAAGCCTTTGTTCGGCAACACAACATTTCCACAAAACCACTGCCAACTCGTGTTATTGTCTCAAACGCCGATGGAACCAAGAATCGCACTGGACCTTTAACGGAATATGTGACACTTCGCCTAACTGTGGCAGGTCGCACGGAATTAATGGACTTCCTGGTCACTGGACAAAGAGAGGCCAGAATTTTATTAGGACACGACTGGCTACGACGCACGAATCCCGACATCAACTGGCAAACAAACACTATCACGTACCCTTCTGATGATACGGAGTATCACCCTGAAGACGGAGATAGAGTCATCGCTGTAGACTTACAGAGCAGGATTGACAAAATTTCCGTCGAAAGCAACGTATCTCAGACCAAAAGCCAACAGATTGCGGAAGAATCAGAACGAGCAAAGTCAACACTCACGTTCAGAGACGTCGTTCCCCCGTTTTATCATCATTTTGAGCCAGTATTCACAAAAGCGTCATTTGATAAACTACCCCCACAACGAGTCTGGGACCACGCAATTGAACTCCTACCAGAAGCCAAAGGTCTAGACTGTAAAACGTATCCACTTAACCGAGACGAACAAATTCATCTTGACGAATTCTTGAAAGAGAACCTGGAGACAGGGAGGATCAGAGTATCGAAATCCCCTTACGCATCCCCGTTCTTCTTTATCAAGAAAAAAGACGGATCTCTCAGACCGGTACAAGACTATCGGAAACTCAACGCCCTCACGATCAAAAACCGATATACGTTACCCCTCATTTCAGAATTGATAAACCGACTCAAAGGAGCGAGATTCTTCACCAAGCTGGATGTCCGTTGGGGATATAATAATGTTTGAATCAAAGAAGGAGATGAGCACAAGGCCGCCTTCAGAACTAACAGAGGACTGTTCGAACCTCTGGTTATGTTCTTCGGACTCACGAACTCCCCAGCCACCTTTCAGACAATGATGGACCGACTTCTCCGAGACCTAATCAACGAAGGATCAGTTATTGTATACCTCGACGACATCATGATATTCACCGACTCGTTAGAAGAACACAGGAAGATCGTATCCAAAGTTCTTCAGATACTCGCAGACAATCAATTATATCTCAAACCAGAGAAATGTGAGTTTGAAAAGAAAGAAGTCGAATATCTGGGAATGATCATCTCCCATGATACGATTCGTATGGACCCGCTAAAAGTACAGGCAGTTGCAGAATGGCCGATACCACGAACAAAGAAGGAGTTACAGTCATTCCTAGGGTTTTCAAACTTTTACAGACGATTCATCAGAGACTACGGAAAGATTGCCAAACCGCTGACGATTCTCACCGGAAAGGTAGACTGGGAGTGGGCTGAAGACCAACAACGAGCGTTCGACGTTCTCAAAAAGACAATCACCACTTCGCCCACACTCGCAATCCCTAACGACGAGGATCCATTCAAAGTTGAATGTGATGCCTCCAACTACGCCACGGGAGCAGTGTTATCCCAGCAGCAAGAAGGGAAATGGAGACCGGTCGCATTCCTGTCAAAATCGATGAACCCTGCAGAGAGAAATTACGCTATCTGGGATAAAGAGATGCTAGCGGTAATGCATGCGTTAGAAGAATGGCGACACCTCCTCATGGGAGCTAAACACCAGTTCACCATATTCACCGACCATCAAAACCTCACCTACTTCCGAGACCCCCAGAAGGTAAACAGACGACAAGCTAGGTGGATGGACACACTAGCGAGATACGATTTCAAGCTAGAGCATGTGAAAGGCTCGGTGAACACGAAAGCGGACCTACTTAGCCGAAGAGTAGACCATCCGAGAGGCGAGAGAGACAACGAAGGACAGGTCCTTCTACCTCAGCTCGCGGAAGCAAACATTTATACTATGGAGGACGTGTTAGAAGAACACTACCTGGACGAGCTGCTAGCTTCGCAGCACAAACTAGACGATTACATAGTAAGGAAGTTGAAAGAAGATCCAAAGGTTTGGAAGAAACGAGACGGAATCGTCTGGATAGGAAATGAGAAAGAAGACGAGTTGACGTTAGGGTCCTTCAAAAACAAAATCTACGTACCCCAAGATCCAAAGTTGAGGGCACGTATTATCGAAGAAGAACATGACACCAGCCTCAGTGGACACCCAGGAGAAAGAAGACGCACGAAGGAGTAAACCGATCATTCTGGTGGCCTAGCCTCAGGAGAGATATCAGGAAATATGTCGCAGGATGCGAGATATGTCAGAGAACAAAGTCGCATCGTCAAAAACCGCATGCTCCCCTCCATCCAAATCCGATCCCTGATCGTCCTTGGCAGATAATCACAACGGATCTCATCGGAGCATTACCAGAGTCAAACGGATACGATGCTATCCAGGTTTTTGTTGACAGATTCTCGAAAATGGCTCACTTCGTACCAACGCACGTTACTCTTGATTCGTTAGGCTACGCCAAACAACTACGAGATTCGGTTATACGACTACACGGCATCCCGGAAAAGATTATATCGGATAGAGGACCTCAATTCATGTCGAACTTCACCAAGGACTTCTATCAAACCCTTGGGATTGAACCCGGTCTGTCAATAGGTTACCGTCCCCAAACTGACGGGCAGTCCGAATGAATCAATCAAGACCTGGAACATTACCTACGCACGTTCATTAATCACCGACAAGACGACTGGGCTGATTGGCTAGCCATTGCCGAGTTCACATACAACAATCATCTTCACTCCGCAACCAATCAGACCCCCTTCTTTGTAAATTATGGTTCTCACCCTCGTAAAGGAACCGGTCAGAAGCCTTCAGGGTGCTCGCAAGCTGCCGAAGATTTCGCAACCTCTATGACAAAACTACACGAACAAACTCGACAATCATTATTACTCGCGAATCAAAACCTCAAAAAGTACTATGACCGGAAACGCACGGAAGCACGAGAATATCACAAAGGAGATAAGGTGTGGTTAGAGGGAACTCATATCTCCACCGATCGACCGATGAAGAAGTTAGATGACAAACGATTTGGCCCGTTTACGGTAAAGGCAAAAGTCGGCCCATCCGCTTATCTCCTTGATGTCCCTAGATCCTGGAAGGCGATCCATCCCGTATTCAACGAAATCCTCTTATCACCGTATCACACGCCGGAGTTCCCTAATCAACCTCGTACCTCGAAACCTCCGCCGATCCAAGTTGATGGCGCAGTCGAATACGAAGCCGAAGAAATCATTGCTTCTCGGCCCACTAAACTCAAAGGGGCTAAGCTCGATTACTTCGTCCATTGGAAGGGATACCCGATCACAGAGAGGACGTGGGAACCCGACCACCATTTAAAAAATTCCCCCTCGCTTATTGCCACCTTCCACCGCAAACAACCCGCCGCCCCACGTGTCATCGCCTCCGCCGCTTTACGATTTCGTCCTTACGAAAATTTCACTACTACAACCGAAAAACCCCGCCTCTTCGACTGGATCACAAACCGCTTCACGGACTGCGGCGCTAAGATTCTTGGGACAAGAATATAAAAGGGGGGGGTAATGTAAGGACCATTTTATTATTTCCTTATCTTCACTATGTCTTGGTTCTCGAACGCTTTTCCCATTACGCCTCTGGCTCTAGGGCTAGAGGTATCGTTTGCCGTTCTACTTCTCATAGCCCTCACAGGCTTTCTTAACCATCGTTACCATTTTATATCACAGATCAGAGACTGGGCATCGCTCCCAGCCAGCCAGCACACTGGGTAGGGACTGGTAGTAGGCATCTCGCCAACCAGCTCCAAGCCCCAGTAAAGCCTGGTAATACTAATAACGCCTTATCTAGAATCGTACCTCATCATGAGGATACGGTTCCTGACCACGCGTGACAATCTTCTATTATTAGTACAAGTCTCTCACCTGCTGATTAATCAAGCCAGAAGTCGTACAATAGTTACTCTCCCTTTTTCTTATTGGTAGATTAATTCCTCAGACCACTTTTCGTATATTCTCCTTTCGGTCTGAGGAACGGACAGTTCCCTATATAAAGACGTACCTATTCATGTATAGCTCCTTAGCTTTCTATTACTGAATTTACCCGCTTTACTCCTCAACAAGAACCTTTGAAGCTTACCTCTCAAAGTCCTCTACTCGCTATATTTCTAGCGTCTGTCGACCTCAAAGCTCATTGGACCCTTACTCCCTGCAAGTGCAGAAGGAGATAGGTTTAGTTTTTGTTATAGTTTATCGTTGCCTCACACCTTGGTGCATGGTGTAGAGCTCTATGGCTCTACCGACTCGTCGTACTTCCTCAGCCGCCAGGGCCAAGTTGTCACTTCGTGTATCCTGCAGATAGATCTGTTCTGCAATGCGAGGGTTCACATTGCGTTCTAGCAGTTCCACTGCGTGTTCATTGCCAAGACCCCCTTGGATTGAGAGGGCCAGGAACCGGGTTACGAAATCATCCGTCCTCATGTTTCCTTGTTTGAAGGAACGGATTTGCTGACGCGCCCAGTCACGCTCAGCTTGCGGTTTGAAATATTTTTCGATCTCTGTTTTGAGATCGTCCCAGGTGGGCCACACACCCGCGGTGTAGCATTCCTGGAGTCTTACTTGGGCGTATCGACCCGCCACAGGTCCTTTTAGGCGAGATAGCACCGCAGTGGCTACCTCAAAATCGTCGGCGAAAGCGTCCCAGTTCGCCTTGACCCAAATCTGGAGCTTGATCCACCATTCGGCAAATCGCGCTCTGTCTCCTTCGAAGGCGCCAGGGTCAGCGACGACTTCGACTTTCTTATTAAACTTTTTCTCTACCGAGGGGGTTGCTACAGGGGGGTTGGCCTGTATCTCGGCGAGCTGCGAGGTTAATTCAGCTATCTGCACACGCATTGCGTGCAGTAGCGCATTCATATCTTGGGGTTGCGACGACATGTCGACTTGTTCTCTTTGGGTAACGTAAAAATAGGTAACTGGGGGTCCCCGCTTGCTATCTGCGGATCAACCTCTTCCCAGCTGAGTATCGGATCTCAATCTCCGACTACCCACACTATAGTATTTGAAAATGTATATAAAATGTAAACGTAATAAACCCTGGTCCGAACGGTTGTCAGGGGGTGGTCCACTTGTTAAGCTGTCAACCCTTCTCCAGACTGGCGGAGGCAAGTGCCCGGCCTGGTCAGAGGTATTCGAAAGTGAAAGTTTGTATTCTAAATCTAATCAACAGTGGTTCCACACCGACTGCTGAGCTAAGGTACTCCCCTTAACGCTGGGGGCCGCGTATCGAAGGTTTGCGTTCTTCTCCCGAAGCACTACAAGGCCGTCGCTAGGAGCGCACCTATCTGCTATGTGGGATATTCCTAACCGCTAACCAATCTCCTTCACCCTGGAGTCCGGGTGCCCAGTGGGACTTTTTTGCACAAACGTGTGAGAGAGTAGAAAGAGCGAGTCCTAATGTAACAACCAAGAGTTAGTTACTCTGGCGCACACAAGAACACACTATAAGGAAGATGTTGAGGGAGTGGTTACCCCTTAAGCTGCAGAGAGTTTGTTGGTATACAACAGGAGGACTCGCTGAGGAGTCTCCTGGATCTATTGGGGTATATATACTACTACAGGTTTGTTTGTACATATGTACTATACAGTTGATGAAGGCAGTGGCTGATGATGTCATAGGGTCTAGCCCGTATGGCCAGCTCCACTGCGTGAGAGAGTTAAGTCTAAAAGTAAAAGGAAGGCAACGCGGCGCGAGAAAGGGAAATGCCGCGTGGCACTTAAAGTATAAAGTTAAAGCGGAGAATAAAAAGGAAAGGAGATGTCCGGAAATTGTGTTATCGTAACAATGAGTACGAGAATCTGAGGACAAGGACTGACCATAGCATTCTTCTCATCTTCATACTCCGAATTATACTCGTTGGATGGAATGGTATCAGAGTTATAATTGTCTGGAATGCCATCAGAGCTCCACCCATTGTCACCATAAAGGGATCCAGGACTAATGCCTGCATGAGGGTCGTCATCTGGATCTGCATAGCTCATGCCATTCTCATCCATAAAACCTTTGGGCACTAAAACCTCCTTATCAACTTTTATGAGGTTTGTGTGGCTGGCGTTTAATATATTTTGATGGAGGCCCATCATTCCTGACGAGAGCTTGATATTCCAAGCACTGAACTGGACTTTGCACCGTAATTTCTCTCTCTTGGCTGTCTGAATTTCAAAGGCCTTCTGAACATTGTCGGGAGTAAGGTCATCCTTATCAGGGAGCATGAAAGACAAGCTCTTCGTAAGTTCTTCTACCTAAACATGTCAGAGGTCATTAATAAATTATTGCTAGCTGAGAGTCTGTGAATCCTTACCGCATGTTGGGAGAAGTGTTTTGGTACAGAAGACCCTATAGGTTTGATCTTTGTAGCAATCTTTGTGATAGGAGAGGGTAATTTCTTTCGAATTGGTCCATTATAAGTCTTCCAAGTGCGAGAATAAGGAGTGTATGTAGTGTCTTTTTTCAACGAGCGGGGCGAGCGTAGGACAGGACCTTTGTCCTTATGTATGATATAGGGCTGGGCACCTATGAAATTGGATTTTTCCCCCTGTGAAATACCAGCTCTGTTGTCACAAGGCATCTCAGAGTCAGAGGTAGGGGGGACATCATTTTTGTTTTCGGTGTCAGAATTACCGGGAGAACTGTTGGGAGATAGGTCTGGAAGATCAGTGAGCAGGACACTCTCACCAGAAGACATGATAGCAGGAGGAGATGATGATGCAGTAGTAGACTTACCAGGTGTATCGCAGACATGGAACAACCTATCCATGATGGCTCAATTGTCCTACTGAGGGGTGCTCTGCGCAGTTCAAAGATTGGCAAGAAGTTATCACTCACCTCAATGACCCTTTTCTCTCCTGCGTTCCAGTACCCTTTTCTACTGCAAATAGTGAATGATCTCACCAGTGGAATGATCTTGGCAACTTACCTACTAATCTGCCTCACTGGGAGAATCAAGGCATCCACCCATCGGGAACCACAATCTCTTATCACCCTCACTCAGCATATGACTACGGCCGACTACCGAATGTTTTAGAAGAGATGAATGCTGATCAATATGCACACAAACACATTCACAACATATTTTGGCCCTTTGCCTCACGGAACGAATGGGAGCTGGCAAAATTCCTGATAGAATTGCTCAATCAATTGCAGATTGATAAGTTCTTGAAACTTGCTTGAGTAAGTCTTCACTAGCTAGGATTTATCAAATGCTGACACTTTACTAGACTAAAGATCCGTCAAAGTTGAGTTTCAGTTCTGCATATCGCCTAACTTCTTTTTTGGGTACTTCCAAGTGGGCCTGTATGGAAAATGGAAGAAATAAAGGTGGGAAATTATCAAACGGAAAAACCCATGATTTTACTGTATAGGGATGGTTTGGAAGTTGTGAAGTTGCTTTTTGGAAACCCTGTCTTCGCTAAACACATGATGATGGACCCAAAACGAGTATGGAATAGCAAGGGTGAATGAGAGTATAGCAAGTGGATGACAGGTGACTATGCATGGGCTTTACAGGCATGTGAATCCTACTTCACCACAATTTCTCAACCTGATAAATATTTTAGGACCAGCTTCCTACCGGTTCTACACTTGTAGGGGTTATTGGTGCTTCGGACAAGACAACAGTCACTCGGGGAACAGGTGGCATAGACATGCACCCTACCTTCTTAACTCTCGCCAACATATTTTCTGACATGCGTATGAAAGCTACATCACACTCTTGCTGTGCACAGCTTTCCTACCAGTTCCAACATTCCTGGACTGCCATACCGAATATCAATCCATTCTGTCAGATTGCGTCTGGCATTCATGTATGGACATTGTTACAAAAAATCTGAAGGCCGTGACTAGCACAGGCCTGTGGATGGCTGATCCGAATGGTGTAGCCCGTCGAGCATATACACCTCTCGTTGCTTGGGTTGCTGATTTACCAAAGCAGCAAATGATAGTATGCACGACAAAGAATCTCTCACCAGTCTCACATGCTCGCTTGAGCAAATTCGGCGATAATCAACCACATCAACCACGGTTAGGCATCAATACACTGTTAGCTATCAACAGTATCCAATGCAATATGTGGGACTTTGCTAACTTTGTACCAGAAGCAAAGTCTAAAGGTCTCAGCAATGTTCATCATCCATTTTGGCGCAGTTGGCCTCTTGCAGACCCGAGTAAATTTCTTGTTCCTGAAATTCTACATACATGACATAAGTTCTTTTTTGATCATGTCTTGCTGTGGTGTAAAGAAGCTGTTGGAAGAGATGAGCTTAACGCACGTTACAGAAGCCTGCATGCAAGAGTGGGTTTCAGGCATTTTGGGAACGGTATCTTGCATGTCAAACAAATGACAGGACGCAAACATTGTGAAATACAGAGGACGATCATTGCAACATCAGCAGGCACAGTTACCCCTTCTTTCTTGCGAGCTATACATGCTCTTGTCGACTTCATCTATCAAGCTCAATCCCCTATGCATACTCTGTCATCTGTGAAGGCTATGGTGGCTTCCTTGTCTGAATTCCACGAGAACAAACAAGCGATCCTGGATGCTGAAGTTCATCAAGGTGCCTCTACAACCATTGAGCATTTTAATATCCCTAAACTGGAGCTATTGCAGCATTTTGCAGCATTTTGCTCGAGCAATTCGGAATATGGGGGCTGTCATCCAGTTTACAGCTGATGTCACCGAACATCTTTTAATCACACATTGTAAACATCCGTTTAGTGGTATCAACGGCCGCCTATTTTTCGAGATACAATGTGTTCGCATCCTCGACCGCTTAGAAAAAGCGCAAATGTTTCACTTATACACAATCCTCTGACACCAAAATATCTCCCTCATAAATTATCTTGTTTCCGAAGAAAGCTCTGTCTTAGCTGAAGTTGACCCCCGAGTCAAGCTGGTTATCCCGTGCTTTACCTGAAGAAAAACACATCTTCAGCATCCGACCCATCCGCAACCACTTTCTGAAAGGAATTCAGTCTACTGATGCCAAGACAGTGTTCCACCTCACAAAATACCCAGATATGAGGTTTATTTTGATCTAGAGAGCAGCGGAACTCTTTGCCTTGGAAGACTTACCAGGGGCTATAGCCGATTATGCATGAGGCTTATCAGGTTTCCACAGATATTCTGGGCCTACTGGTTGTAGCAATCTGTCATTCACGCATATCCGAGTGTGGTACAAGTGCAAGGTGCAACTACACTCAATGTTTTGTTTGCATATCATCATGCCTCCGCAAACTATTCAAGCGTATCCGCCTTTGCCTAAGATGCCGCTTGGAAACTGTGACGCAGTGAGTGTAACAACCAAGAGTTAGTTACTCTGGCGCACACAAGAACACACTATAAAGGTAGTGATGAGGGAGTGGTTACCCCTTAAGCTGCAGAGAGTTTGTTGGTTAACAACAGGAGGACTCGCTGAGGAGTCTCCTTGATCTATTGGGGTATTTATACTAATACAGAGTGTTTGTACCTATGTACTGTACAGTTGATAAAGGCAGTGGCTGATGATGTCAGAGGGCGCAGCCCATGTGACCAGCTCCACTGCGTGAGAGAGATTGAGTCTAAAAGAAGAATAAAGGCAGCGCTGCGTGAGAAGGTGGAGTTAGAACGAAAAAGGAAAGTGCTGTATGGCACGGAGTGTGAACTATAGTAAAAGGTTAAAGCGGAGAATGAAAATTAAAGGAAAGGTCCGAAAATTGTGTTATCGTAACAGTGAGACTGGGCAATCCTGATAGGATCTCCTGTGAGTGTAAGTGCATCAAGCTGGCTGGCATTAACAAGAATTATTAGTGATTAATTTCTTAATCTAGCTACACCGGTGGTACAAGTACGTATCATATTTCAGGCAATAGCACCACATTTCTCAAATTCGGGGCAGCCGACACATGGTATGAGGTGGCTCTGCCCCTGGTGCAATGTTTTTGCTATATGATAAATAATAATAATAATACTGTCTGATCAAATTGTTAAGTCAGTGAACTTATGCTGTCTGTAATGTATGTTAAGTCTTTGAATCCTATGATGCATGTTTGACTTGCTGTTCTGTCATTGAATGTCCTTATAAGCCTGCCTTAGACTTGTGCACAGTATACTGAATTCAAGCAGATGATTCATTGAATCTTTACAAACATCAACATATATTGTAACATAAAAAGTCTGTGGTATTACATTGATAAATTGTTGAGAAATTTAAAAAAAGACTCCAGAAATGGTAAAGGATGATAATATGGTCTGATATCAAAACATTTTAGTAAAAAGGGTGAGAATTGCAGAAAAATCTACTTGCCAGTCATGGATAAAGCCAGTCAGAATTTTGGGATATACCACATTGACCATACATCTGTCATTTGAACCATGTGGAAATAGCACTTTTATTCTCTCTCCTGAAGTGCAGCAAGGCAATGCAATGTAAAGTTGCCCATGTGAAAATACTGGAACACATAAATCCAGCCCAACCTGTGTCACTGATTGACCTTGAGACTGGTTGATGGTCATGGCAAAGGCAACATGGACAGGGAATTGACAATGTGATGGGCAATTCTTCTGATGAAGGTTCCAATGTGAGGTGTGGAATAAAAGCTATCTTTTCTGCATGTTTTCCTCCCAAGACATGGCATTTCAATACTCTTCTCTTTATCTCTATCAAAATCATGTGTGTTCCATTACAGAGTCCATTTAAGGGATCAATATTGCGGAGGAGCATAAGCAGATATCCAGCTTTAAGTTTAAGGTGCGCTTCAGGAAGGCCAGACTTGCAAGGAGTTCAAGAATTCCATAGGATAATGTTTATGCCCCTCTCCAACTACTTTATCAATTGACAGAGCTACTAACTCCTTTTCAGGGAATTTTGTGAGGATTGCTGAATTAAGGTCGCTAACAGCATTATTTTTTGTGGAGAGGATGGTGCAGTGGAGGAAATAATGGTCATCTTGGTCTCCATTTGCAATTCTAGGATAGGTAGTGTCAACTAATGAGTCTATGGTGTTTTCTGTTATAAGCATGTTGGCTGGAAGCTTGATAGTTCCATCTCCTGCAATTCCACAACCACCACCAACATCCAGGAGCCAGCTAGCAAAGGCTTCGCTTTTTGGAGTCCTATCCAGGCATATATTCTGTGTGAAATAGCAAACATGGGTATTTGTATTTGTCCACAGTTGTGACCTTCTAGAAGAGGCAGAAATAATATGTTACCTTGACCCTCTTGGAACAACAGGTGTTGTTTGGCAGAAGTCCCCTCCAAAGACCATTGTAATGCCTCCAAATGGAAGCTGATTATCCAAAATGTCCCGCAATGTACAATCTAATGCTTCAATTCCATGATGGTGTTGCATCAATGCTTCATCCCAGACAATAACTCTGGTATGTCTCAATACCTTATGGAGGTCAGAGTTTTTTGGAATCCATGTGGATGCTTCATTCACAGGAATAGGGATTCCAAGGCACAAATGAGCTGTGCGGTCACCCTCCAAGAGCAGGGTTGCAATCCCAGAGGATGCTACACATAGAGCAACATTATAATTATCCATTGCTCAAACAACAGGAGTAATTGTATTACAGAGATATGTTTTTCCCCTACCGGTACCTCCAGCACTGTGAATAAAGCAAGTTGTTCCCCAATTATGATGAATTGACTGCATGATGGTATCAAAAGCATTCCGCTGCTCTACATTATCTTTTAAATAATGATAATACAGTTTAGTGATCAAATTTTATCGAGTCAAAAGTCAGTGAACTTGTGCTGTCTGTTCTTATAAGCGTGAGAATTCTTCAGTGTGGATACAATTTTCACTGCGTTCACTACTACTGTACTGCTGCTCTGTGTTGCCACAAAAACCATGTGAGCAAAACTAAGCGAAATAACCAACACAATGTGGCTTGCACACGGCATTTGGGACCACTGTCCCCTTCGTTATAGATTACGGTGTCATGCACCAAAGTTGATTGGTAGCATGGACAGGTGTCAAGAATGAAGCAAATATTCAAAAAGACTTGCCTTTGCGCCACACAGGCACAGTGCCACGTGGAATAGTAATTAATATTGCCTTTTTTGAACTTGTGGCTGATCAGCACCACCTCTATTAGGCAATCCAGTCGCGTTCACCTTTGCTTTTCCATTTGGGCCCTCCCTTACCTTTTTTTCTTTACTCAGTTCCACCATGGGACCCTTACTCTCTTTTTTATTCTCACCCAATGGTCACTTCTGGATCCCTATTTTGGTTCACCTCCTTGTCACCTCCACCCTCCTCCTCCTCATCTTCTTTGCTCCCCCACCATATCTGATGTCACCACTTTCTATCCATTTCCGTTGCCTATCCGTCGACCACCATGTGCCGCTGCTGATATCAGCAAAGCCCTGGCAGCCGGTCCAAATTGGGCAAAAGGTCCATCTTCATGACGTTGATCTTCCATCATATACCATCAAAACATTGGTCGCTCATCTCACCTGGTTGGAGCATGGGTGGGTAGTTTTTGAGCTGGAGAAGGTTCATCCCCTTGCGTCGCCCATGTACATTGCCATCCCATTCACTTGGGTACACTTATCTTTTGTACATCGTCTTCGCTACAGCTACAGCTACCACACGCTGCCTGGGACTCACTTGTTCCAAATTGGAACTACTCCCCTCCCTCCCTCATTTGACCAGGTGGTCCAGTACAACCAGTCCATTGGTAAGGCCATGGAACTGTTGGAATTGGACTAGGTGGTGGACCGGTGGCTCCAGTTTCTTTTTTTCAGCAGAGCATTCATTTACAGTGCAATTATTTTTGATTTTTGAATCATTTTTATGGACACATATTTTTTTAGAATGCCTGACTGACAATAAAGGAACTGTGTTGATACTGATATATTTTTTTTGCTTTGCCCTTTTTTACTGCATCTTCCCATGACATCATGATTTTCTTACTCTCTTACTGCTATTGGACTTTACTTTATGGCTGTACAAACCTATAACATTACTTACACAGCATTCATTGTTCTATCTCTTTCTTTTTCTTATTTTGACAATCTTATCCTGTACTACCTATGCAGGATTTGTCAGCATACATTCCTTCCTTCATGTTCTTTCTCATTCTTTTTGCACAGCTATACTGTGCATAGCCTCCCTTTCTTTTACTATATAAACCCCTGTATTTTACCTTGTAAAAAAAACAGAACAAGAACTCGAATCCAGACTTCTTCTCTAAATCTCAAGTTCACTACTCTGCTACTTGTGATCCAGTGTGGTCACAACACTTCCCACTGCTACCACTGTTAACTGCTGTCATTGTCACTCGTCACTTTTTGAAAGTAATTGTCATCCCTTTTGATTAAAGTCCTTCTGAGCACTACAGTCTGTGCGTCAGGAGCCTGCTATCACTGGGAACTTTGTCACCCCGTCACTTTGTCATTCTCAAACCTACCTTGTGCTACGATTAGCAAGGTAGTGCTTGTCTATACTCGCCACAAAGCCCCTATCTTCTACATTCCAACTATCCCTCCTCCTCAAAACCCACACCCATACATTTCTGGGTTTTACTTTGAAGGATCCTTATACATACCACCCCATGAACAACCAGAGCACCCACTGTTCTAAAAGGCAAAGCCCATAAACAAGTTCCGTGGAATCTGGGAGGATTGTGTGTTAGTTTGTTTTTGTTGTAAGTCTGTCAATAGTCCTCGTGCTCTGGAAGACTAACATGACAATAGTAAATGTGTCCTTGGTGATATAAAGGACAAGTGGTAGTATGTGAATAGAAGTGTGAGGGTATGTGTGAGTTTGAAGTGTTATGTGACTAGCTTCAAGATATAGCCAACACTAGGTGTGTCAATGATAGTCCTTACTTGTTGAGAGACTAATAGGATAAAGATAATAATGTCCTACACTTGATAAGGGACAAACTATGATACACTGATGATCGATAGAATTGATAGAAGGGTGAAGCAATACTTGAATATGCTTCAGTGACTGACTGCAGATGAGCTTACACCAGATCAATAGATGACTGATATAAGTTTCTATAGTCCATCTCAAACTTATATCAGTCATGATGAATGAGATCTTTGTGTAAGGACCATTTCATTATTTTCTTATCTTCCCTATGTCTTGGTTCTTGAACGCTTTACCCGTTACACCTCTGGCTCTAGGGCTAGAGGTATCCTTTGCAGTTTTACTTCTCATAGCCCTCACAGGCTTTCTTAACCATCGCTACCATTTTATATCACAGATCAGAGACTGGGTATCGCTCCCAGCCAGCCAGCACACTGGGTAGGGACTGGTAGTAGGCATCTCGCCAACCAGCTCCAAGCCCCAGTAAAGCCTGGTTATACTAATAACGCCTTATTCAGGATTGTACCTCATTATGAGGATACGGTTCCTGAACACGCGTGACAATCCTCTATTATTAGTACAAATCTCTCACCTGCTGATTAATCAAGTTAAAAGTCGTACGATAGTTACTCTCCCTTTTTCTTATTGGTCGATGGATTCCTCAGACCACTTTTCGTATATTCTCCTTTCGGTCTGAGGAACGAACAGTTCACTATATAAAGCCTTACCTATTCATGTATGGCTCCTTAGTTTTATATTACTGAATTTACCCGCTTTACTCCTCAACAAGAACCTTTGAAGCTTACCTCTCAAAGTCCTCTACTCGCTATATTTACTAGCGTCTGTCGACCTCAAGCTCATTGAACCTCTTACTCCCTGCAAGTGCAGAAGGAGACAGGTTTCGTTTTTGTTATAGTTTATCGTTGCCTCACACTTTGCGGATATGGAAGACTGTGTCATCATTTACATTGACAATTTATTAATATTCACGAAGTCGGACAATGAGGCTGAGCATGACAGGATCGTGCAAGAAGTCCTTCGACGCTTACAGGAATGGGACCTATTCGCCAAACCCGAAAAATGTAATTTTAAAGTAAAGGAAGTAGACTTCCTCGGTATGATAATTGGCCAGAACAGAATCAGGATGGACCCTGAAAAAGTTCAAGCTATATTGGATTGGCCTGAACCTACTCGCGTCAAAGGAGTTAGGTCCTTCCTTGGCTTAGGCAATTTCTACCAAAGATTTGTTGAAAAATTTGCGAAGATAACGAGACCGTTGAACAATCTCACTAAAAAGGATATTGTTTGGCATTGGGGCGCTGAACAGGAAGCTTTTGATAAGCTTAAATGAGCATTTACAACAGCACCCATACTAGCATTTCCAGAATTAGACAATGAGTTTCGGCTAGAAACCGACTCTTCTGATTTTGCTACTGGGGCTGTTTTATCAATTAAATGCCCTGACAATCTTTGGAGGCCTTGTGCCTATTTATTGCATAGTTTGTCGCCTACAGAGCGCAACTATCAGATCTATGATAAAGAGATCCTGGCCATCATTCAAGCTTTAGAGCACTTGCGGCACTATTTAGAAGGTGCTAGGCACCAATTTGAAATTTGGACCGATCATAAGAATCTGGAGTATTTTATGACGGCCCAAGACTTGAACCAAAAACAGGCTCGCTACGTGCTATACTTGTCTAGGTTTAATTATAAATTGATTTATAAGCCTGGAACTTCTATGGGGAAAGCGGATGCTTTGTCCAAAAGAGAGGATCATGCCAACGGCATAGAAGATGACAACAAAGGTGTCACCCTGATAGACCAATCAAGGGTTGCCAATGTTAAAATCGGGCAGGATTCTGATCTTCTGGAAGTCTTCAAAAAAGACATCTCCTCAGAAGAGAAGGCGCACCTTGACGGCAATGAAAACTACTTATGGGAAGACGGGCTCTTCCATTTTAAAGACAAAATCTATGTGCCTGAGTCCGCAAGGATCAAGGCAATAGATAGACATCACAACACTCCAGTGGCTGGGCACCCTGGGTGGCAAACAATGGAGTTGATCTCCAAAAACTACATGTGGCCTAGCATAGTCAAAGACGTACAAGAATACATAAAATCCTGTCTGAGATGTGCCATGGCAAAGAATTCTCATCAACTGCCGGCCGGTAAGCTTATGCCAAATCCGATACCAGCTGGTCCCTGGCAGGATATATCGGTTGACTTCACGACAGATCTATCTGAGTCAAACGGGTATAATTCAGTAATGGTGGTAGTAGATCGCTTCTCCAAAGAAGTGGTGTTTATTCCCACCAATAAAACCATTACTGCCGCTGGTACAGCAGATTTATTTAAAGATTTTGTATGGTCTATCCATGGATTGCCGGAAACGGTTATCTCCGATAGGGGACCACAATTTGCTAGCAAATTTACGAAAGAACTATGCCGGATGCTGGGCATCAAACCTAAATTATCAATGGCATTCCGTTACAATCTCTATTGGACATTTAAGGACTACTCATTTCTCTTTACTCATCGGTTATACCATCGGCACTTCAGTCACCCCCAAAACATAAGCATTTAGCTTCAACTATCTGTGTAAATGTATAAAGCTAAGAGCTTGTTTTTCCTGGTATCATCCCAAGTGCTCCAGCAAGGATGGGATCATTCCAGAAGCGGAATAATACCACCCTTCTGGGATTTTCCCATGGTATCAGACCATGTACCATAGTGGGATTATCCCTCAGATGGGATAATCCCAATAACCTGTCACATGTCACATGGTATCAGGGGGATTGGTGCTAATACTAACATGTGAGAATGCTGGGCCAACTAGTGAAGATATTTCCAGTCTTTTCCACCTGAATAATGGTACTTTAGCCCAATATAATCAAGACTATTTTGAAATATATGAGTTACAAGTTCCTCATTGTAGCTTACTGCAAATTTGGGGAGAAGCATTCCCTTTTTTTTAAATGTGGAACATTATCAATTTCTAGATATAATCAATTGCAGGAACCATACACTAGAAAGATGCTGTTGTCCTTGCTGATAGATGTGATATGTGAGTTCTGCTTTTTTGCAAGGTTTATTATACCCTTAACTGAAGTAAAAACTAGGAAACACAACATAAATGCTGTGACAACAAAGTAATCTGCAGAAGGACATCGAATATTAGATTTACACTAGATCTGGCATATTCTGTGAGGAAAATCCTGACCTTGTAGAAAGTAAAACATAGTAAAAAGAAACATAAAGTCATGTTCTTGCAAAAACATGAATTTACCACTTTTGTGGCACTACCAAGGTATTTGATACCTTATATTGTACATTCTCTGAGAGTGGTTCCTGGGGGCTGCTGGCTGAAGGTCTATGGGGAGAGGGGGATGCTTGCTATGTACAGTATAATACACAAGATCTCCATTTTGATACTCCTACACTAGATGACTTGAGTGTGAGGATTAATTAGGCACTGCTTAGGTATTTAATACCTTGAGTTGTGCCATTTCTGGGAGCTACCAGCTGAAGGTCTAAGGGGTGACTGGTGCCTATATGCTGACTGTGTATAGTACAGTATCTAAGTCCACAAAGAATCTGAGTGCTGTAAAGGTATTCTTTTTTTAGATTCTTGAGAAATTGAAATGAATCCGGAAAATATTTTTTCATGCCAAGTAAGGTTTCTGCCAACATTCTCTGTCTCTCATATGATAGTGATGCTGTCTCACACCACTCTTTTTGGATTATCATTTTTATGGCAATATGTAGAACTTAGGTAATTTCCTTCAAAACTGATTCTGACCATTGACATTGCCCAACTTTTGATTTTTTTTACTGAGGATCATCCCACACTGATCTGGACAAATCCCTGAAATAGGGTGTGATCATCCCAGTTAAATCTGTACATGTCCCCACGTAACATGGGGTTACCCACTTCTCACATGGACAAATACCAGAAGGGGGTGGGATCATCCCAGTTCAATATGGACAAATACCATAAAGGGATGGGATGATCCCAGCTCAATGTGGACAAATACCACAAGAGGATGGGATAATCCCAAGCCAATCTGGGATGATCCCAAACCAATCTGGGAAAATCCCAGTTAAGCATGGTCAAATACCAAATGAGATGGGATGATCCCAAACCAATATGGGAAAATCCCAGCAAGAGATGGGATGATCCCAGTTAAGCATGGACAAATACCAAAAGAGGATGGGATGATCCCAATTGAATCTGGGAAAATCCCAGCAAGAGATGGGATGATACCAGTTTAACATGGACAAATACCAAAAGAGGATGGGATGATCCCAATTGAATCTGGGAAAATCCCAGCAAGAGATGGGATGATACCAGTTTAACATGGACAAATACCAAAAGAGGATGGGATGATCCCAATTGAATCTGGGAAAATCCCAGTAAGAGATGGGATGATCCCAGTTGAACATGGACAAATACCAAAATAGGATGGGATGATCCCAATTGAATCTGGGAAAATCCCAGCAAGAGATGGGATGATACCAGTTTAACATGGACAAATACCAAAAGAGGATGGGATGATCCCAATTGAATCTGGGAAAATCCCAGTAAGAGATGGGATGATCCCAGTTGAACATGGACAAATACCAAAATAGGATGGGATGATCCCAATTGAATCTGGGAAAATCCCAGCAAGAGATGGGATGATACCAGTTTAACATGGACAAATACCAAAATAGGATGAGATGATCCCAATTGAATCTGGGAAAATCCCAGCTTAACATGGACAAATACCAAAGAGGATGGGATGATACCAGTTGA